TGTTAATTTCGTCAAACCTATATGCATTCTTGAATATGTTGAGAATAACGTATTGTTAATGTACAATGTATATGCATATAGAGCTGAAAAAAATTTGGTGCTTGCTTGATTTTTTTTGTTGTTGTTGTTTTGGTTTTTTTTTGGTGTGTGTATTTAATGTTACAAAGTATCTGGCCTTACTCCCCATTTTAAGAATATCTGAACTGTTCTTAATGATCACATTAAGAAAAAATTTTGGCAGTTTATGTATTTTTGGCTGGAATTTTGAGTCTGAAATGGTAAACTGGAGGAAGATTTCACAGAATACATCTGCTTTGACTGAGCTTCTTCAACTGAGAATAACTGGAAGGTGACAAAACAAGTTTGTCTCACTGACTGAAAACAATGAAGAGTCTAAGAAGATCAGAGTGGGATTGAGTGCAATTCAAATATAGCTATGTAAAAAATTTTCTTTTTCTTTTCTATAGTAGTAGAAAGTAGCCCTAAAGAGCAGTTCTTCTGACAGCACTAGAAGAAACTTTTTCAAACATTTTCACTTTATTTGAAGGGATATCCATTAGTATTTATATGTGCTGAATTACGTCAAATTAAAAAAAAATTACAAATATAAATGCCCTTTATTAATTTGCATACTTCATATCAAAGGCACAAAATTTTAACTTTTCCTGGAAGAAAAAACAACATTTTACTCATCTTCTACAGTCATGCAAGAACAAGAAATACCAGTTTATGATGCTTGTTGGGTGGTGAACTATTATAGGTGAGGGAGCATGATCTGAGGCCACTTCATAGTTCGTCTTTCCTTCCACTTTTGTCATATGCTTTGCCGCAGTTTCCTTCCATTCAGAATATGACACAGAGTCAGAAAATCAGTTGAATGAGAGAAAAATAAGAGGCCTGACTTCCATTCTGTCCTAGACAGTGAATTAGGACATGTCTGAAACTTTCCTCTATGTAATGTTCTGTATGATATGCTTGCAGGTCACAAATATTCATCTGTATGCATATATATGTGTGAGTGTGTATATATATTTGATAGTGAAGAATGTGAATGTTCTTGAGAACCAAACCCCAAACTTGGTATACAAGGGGTGGGGAGAAAGTTGTAAATAGACCATTAAGTACACCAACATGCACTGATTCTGGCATCCTGGTTGTATTCTGTTTCAGACTCTTTTGGCCAAAATGTGAGCCATGTCTAAAAGCCTGGGCTAGACAAAGGAAAGCTTCTTTTGGCCCACCTTCCAAACAGTTTGGTCATAAGCCAGTAGTGGTTCTTAAACCATATGGCCACATAAGCTCAGTCACAGAGCTCTGCTAATAAGCTTGTCATCCGTAGCAGTTCTTCCTGCAGTGACACCCTGAAAACTCATACAAAGTTATCTCTGATCACTGATTTTATTCTGCTTTTCCTGCCTACCCCTGCGGTTCTACTCTGTTTTCTAATGTAATCTCCTTCTCTTATTGTGATATTAAAAAACATGCTGTTTAAATGGACCCACTGTGCGTTACCCAGAGGTGATCTAAACTGCTCTGTGCTTTATGTCACGCTATTCTGAAATGCTGGATAATCAGTCATTTTATTTAATCATACACAAATCTTGTTAGCAGTAGCTTCTTTTTATTTCTTCCAGATCATTGCTAAAGATTTCAAATATTAAACTGGAAAGTATGCTCTGTAGATGCTGCTAGATTAGTACACTTTAAGTTTCATCTTGACTAATTTCTTCTGCTTTCTCTTCCGTTAACTAGCTTGTAGGCTATTTTACATGTTCTCTATTAATCACTTACATAGAATAAACGATGCTGGTAGTAAAGAGGAGAGAGAAAAACAGAAGCAGGTTTAACAATGGAAGTAAAATGGAGCATATCTGAGTACATGGTCTGGAGGTTTTGGTAGACACTAAAGATGTTTCGCTTTGGTAGGCTTGTACATCTGGTTTTCTCTTTTATCATCAAAACTAATCCAAGCTTATGTTTTATGAATTTCAAGGCCATTTTCTCTACCTTGAGTATACTATTTTTTGGTATTATCTCCAAAATGTATCTGTAATTACTTGATGTGTATGAAATTGCTCTGAGTATTGCTTGTGATATCTTCTGCCTAGGGCAACTGTGAAACTCTACCATGGTGACTGCAGCTTTGCTGGCACTTTCTGTAACCCAATGCTCACTGTTTATCAAATTATAGCAGTACCTCAGGTGTTCAACAAAACAGTCCTCCTGTCCAAATATTCTGTATCATATGAGTGTGTACTGTAATTGCCTAGCAATAATCTTTGCCTCTTGTGGACCATGACTGCTGTGTAATCCCTTGGGAACGTTGTGTAGGAACTAACATGAGTGATAACTGTATTTATGTGGTGTACTTTGAGAAGCATAGGATATATAGGCTTGTGAAATATTTGGTCTCGATCCATAATAAGAAATACTAATTTAACTTCTTTGCATTCCTTTCTCTTTTCTTCCTTTCCCCTCGCCTTGTTTGTCTGACTGGTTCTAAATGAGATATTCAGCTACACAATTTTCTTAACGCTCTTAAGTTTGGATTATCTTGTTGGCTAACAGTGTAAACTGCAGTTGTTCACAAGTCGTAATTCTGGCCTCTAAACTGACACTTTAAAAATGCATTCTGTGTTCTTTTACCTTTTATCAAGAATTTTGAAGTATAACTGTTCAAGAGAAACTTGACTATCTAATTGTCACATTAATTGCTTTATTCTGTTTTGTGCGGCCCTCAGAATAAAGTAAGATTTATTTTTTGACTAAAGTAAGATTTACTTGAGTTTCTCATATTTTCTTCTGTCTACCTGCAGGGAGAGATCTATGCTCTAAGCAGGCCATATAGGCCAGATTCAGATAAAAAAAAAAAAAATCATAGGAAGTGGGTGACTCCAAGGGTTATTTCTCAATAAGGTTGAATTCTCCTCTTTTACTTCTGACTCAGTAGTGAGTTGCAGCTCAAGTCCTAATCCTTAAAATTGAAAGCTCAACTGTTTAGAGGTGGTGTTAGCTGTATTGCAAGAGGATTATCACAAAGAATGTCATCGCATGGTGAGCCTATCACAATCCACTGAAGCAAATCAGGTTATAGATGATTTTTCTGTAAGTAGAGCTCAGTTGTAGAAGTTAACTGGGAGCCGATTTTGTTGTATGTAGTTACTAAACATCTCCAGAGCCTTTCCAGTGATATTCTTGAGCACATGTCCTCCAGCAGTTTTCCACAATTGCTCTCACTTTCTCACGAGCTCAGGAAAAATACAAGTTACTTAGCCAAGTTTAAGGGAATGTTTTTCCTTTAATATGAGAGAAGGGCAACCAAGCTTCAAATAAGCTCTGGGAAGACATGATGTCCTTCTTACCAAAGTATGCTGCAGTTTTATTGGTGGAATATCTGAGGGAAAACATACAGATTACTTTCTTCAGAGCAGGAAAAGGACGTTCCAAAAAGCATGGTATAAGCAATTAGCAGCTTCTAAAACAGAGAGAGCATCTGGTTCTGTTAAATGTACCAAGTAACTGCTATAATAATCTCAAGTATTATTTTGTTTAAGATGATAGAAATGGAAAAATATTTTCTACCTGGAAGCTTAAGTTAAGAAAGCAATGTCAAGTCCTGCTATGTGGAGGTCTCCAGTCACTTCTCCGTTTCATGAGGAAGCAGAAAACCTTGATGACAGTAAACACAAGACTTGACTGAAACAGTGGATTTCCTACTTAAATATGAACAATTGAATTCTGATACTTGATAAGTCAACAAAACTAAGTTTACTTTTTCATCAGGTATTTCAGAGGCAAGGTGGTGATCAAGTTCTGTAAAGTTGTATCTACTGTCTTTTTATTTGCCCAGTGCAATAAATTACTGAATAAGTAGTCAACTATCCACCTGAGCCATATTTATCCCTATTGGGGGAGAGAGGAATTGGACCTAATGATGTCCTCTGTTCGTTGCAATTAAATTGCTAAATTATTTTGTAATTCTAAATGTTTACTTCTGTATCTAGGGTCTTCTCTAATGTATATCTTAACACTAGTTTCCATTCATAGACAAGGTTGCTGGACCCAAGTTCATAAATATAGAATTGAGTAAGGTGGCCAAAATTGAATTTTTGACACAGTTCAGTAAATACGACTTGAAACTCTTCCTAGATTAAAATGGTGTTTTGAAAAGGCCATTGTAAATTTGAAAGAAGCATGAGAAAGTCATTTGGGTGGCTTTTTCTCCCCCGACCTCCATATTAACCTTTCAGTACAAAGGATTATGAACATTTAATCCATGCCAAAGTAAACATACTGATGATATTTCATCTTGCAGTGTTAGGTGAAAGCTCACTTTTATCCATCTCCGTAACAGAGGTAGAAGGATGCCACTTTTGCAAACAACCAGAACTTGCTCTGATGACTGATGTCTGGCAGTCTCTCCTGAGCTGAGAAATTCACATGTGTGCAAGTTTGCCTTTGCTCCCCCAGTGCTATCCGGTGCAGGTTACATGGTGATGCACAGTATCAGAAAAATTGTTTTTCAGAGAGGGTACTTATTAAAGGGTTTTCTTAACCAATAAGTGACCAGTACTTATAAGCTTCTTAAAGCTTTATGTATATTACTGAGTATAAAAACAGAAAAGCAACTGATCTTTTTCACTCCAAACTGGAAGAAACAGTAATTTCCCAATTTATTGAGATATGAATTACATTTTACATGGAACTGTTCTATCTGTATCTAAAAATGTGAAATCATGGCTGAAAACGCAGTACATCAGAACTGCTCTTCAAAACTTCGTTAGTGGAAAAAATGCTTAAATATTACAAAGTAGTGTTGTGGCATGGGAATCAGAGTTAAGGCTGTGAATTACTAGTTGCCCATTTGAATGCTTATATGCCCAATTTTTAATTGGATTCATTGAAATTGGATTTTGAAATTAGAAGTAATTTAAATTAATTAGATCTAACTGAAAAGCCTTCTGTTGGAAAGTAAATCACTGGCTCTTTATGTATTTCAGGTAACATTCAAGGAGCAACTATAGTGGATGCCCTTGATACACTATACATCATGGAAATGAAAGAGGAATTCAAGGAAGCCAAGGAGTGGGTTGAAAAAAACTTAGATTTCAATGTGGTAAGTAGTGTTGTTGATTTAACATGTAATGCTCTGTTTAGTCTCCAGGGGCCAACTGAGGACTGGCTTCTAATATGGCAAGCATGATGCAGCGTTTCGGAATTGAGATCACGGATGAATAAAACAAGGCAGGAAGCAGAAACATAATAAACTTACTGCTTTGCTTATATGCAGTTTTTCAATCTGAGAGATTTAGGTAGATGGAAGGCAACGAGCTGGACTGAAGAAAAGAAAAAGGAATAGAGTATTTACCATTGTAAAGTAAACAACAAACCTTTCAGCTCTTTTGGACAGTAGAACCAGGACACTTCAGGCATAAATTTTTTAGTTACGTAAACACTTTACATTTTTGCTTTGTGAAATATTTCACAAATTAGACTTGCGTTTAGAGAAAGCTACACGCCGTACATACCATTTAAGTTCCTTTGTGTATTCTAGTAAAGTTGAATCACATGAGTTAGGTTGAACTGTTGGCACAAACTGGGCTGATTTAGTCTTATGAGGCACCAGCTCATCACAACTACACGTACAAATCATCGTATTAACTGGTAAATATGTGGCTGAGAAAAAAGTTCATTATTAAAGGTTTTTTTCTAGAAAGGCCCTGAACAGACAAGAACCTGTGTAAAACTTCAATTAAATTGAGAAGTACTGGGTTTGGTTTTTTGTTTTTTGTTTTGTTTGTTTGTTTGTTTGTTTGTTTTGTTTTGTTTTGTTGTTTTTGTGGGCCAGAGTATTTACAGTAATTGTAGGGTACAGAGAGCTAATGGAGTACCTCTGCTGGTCAGTGTAGTGGAGTAGGGAAGCCTTGTAGACAGGGTACACTGAGCACTTACCAGCTCTTGTAGCTTACATGCGTAGCGGTAGAAACACTTTCTGAAAACAAAATACTCTTTCTAATATGTTATGCAAAAGTTGGGATTAATTAACTACTCTTACATGCTTGAGAATTAATTATCATTTTAAGAAGGAGTTAATAAGAGTGGATATTATATAGTTTATATAAGCAGCAATTTAGTGTGAATTTATGTTTACATTAATAATGTAAATACAGGATATTAAACTGTGCTTCTGAGTAGTGTCAGATGTCTGAATGACATGATAACTTTATCTTGTGCATAAGATATTATTTTCTAAAGGAATTTTTGTAATATTAAATTCCTGTCTTATTAGCTTAGCATTATTAAGATGTTTAAAATTGTAAGAACAAAACTTTGTCGAAAACAGCAAACTCCACTTTTAAGGAAAAGCTGAGCTCCACTTGGAGGAAAACCATAAAGTGCTGTAGAGTGATTTACATTAATAACAATAAAATCTTAGGGTTTACATAAATCTTGCTGTACCTTGTACTGGAAACTTCTAGGTGGTATTGCCTACAATTTCAGTTCTTCTTATTAATTTATGTACTTTTAAAAATTATGTAGCACTTTTTCTCAGTAATGCTTAAAAGCTATGTAGTCTTTCAAATTATCTGAAATTTTGTATTGCATTTGTTGGTCAGTGGAACAATCCAGCAAATGTACTGAAACTACTTTACAGATAATACTGATAGGCATCAGGAGCAATATCTTGATCCTGATATTCCTGCAAATAGCTGCCTTGAGTTCGACACCTCAAAAATTATTTTCATAACAGTTCATAATCATATAGAATTGAATTTTACATTGGCATCAGTAACAAGAAGATGAATTTTCCCAAAGTGGAACATGGAAATGAAAACAAATAACCGCAACACTGACTTTAATAACTGATGCCAGCTTGTTTAATGGCTGAATTGAAGCTAGTCAACTTGTACTCATGTTTAGTTTTCCACTTTTATTATAAGTTCTAGTTTCAAATAATCAAAACTTTATATTTGTATCTTACAGTTTAAAGTTGGAAATTACTTAACACAAAGAACAGGAGGGCCCTCTCTTTTGTGTTTAAGCATTTATCATGTATTAGGCATTATTTGACATTTTCTGCATTAGTGTTCTGCATACTCTTACTTGCCTCCTGTTTTAGAAACCCTTCTCCCATGGAAGTGACTTAGTTTTTAATAACTGACACACAGACGTAACCTTAAGTGTTACTTATTGTGAGTAGCATAAAACATGTTTGATGTTTCTGGACATTTTCTGGGCAGTGATTGCTTAATCAGCTTTTGGGGAAGAATGTTTGGTCTTCATTTGTATAAACAGGATTAGATTTTCTCTCCATTTAATATTAGAACTGTGCTTTTAATTACTATTTTTTCTTTAAGAAAATAGCTGTGACTGTATCCTGTAGCAGAATCTTTTCTCCTTATGTTCTACATCAGTGCAGCAGGATAAAGCAAGTTTCTCTTTCTAGAATTTTGTAATACGTCAGATACTCATTGCACATGTTGAACTATTTGGCCAGCACTTGATCATTCTTATCACCTGATCGTAAAAGTTTTCAGATATCACTTTGTAAAGTAGGCACTGGTTTATCCACATAAAAGGATTTATGAAATTAAAATGACTTAATACGAAACAACATAATCTCTTCACATGTTAGATTTCAGTCACTCAATTCAATGAATTAGTTGCCAGGGTTACCCTTGTTTACCTTTCTGAAGAAAGCAAACTGTTCTGATTTAGAAGGAAAATTCTAGATAAGTAAATGTTACCATTCTTGGCAGACTTGTGAGTTTTGGTAAGCTTATGTGTGGATGTGTTTGGAAGCCTTCCCTTTTGGAGTATAACGTGCTTTGGCTGTTTTTATTATAGCTGGAGCCTTATGATTTTGTAACTGAGATATCCACATTGCAATGCTTTTGTTTTTTCTCTCATAACTGCTGAAATTCATTGTATTTGATACCTTGATGAAGTTTCAACCAAAATGAGTTAGTCCTTCAGGAAGTGAGTTGCATTTTCTGGTTCTGTCAATACTGTAAGAGATTTAGACATACTCATACCTTTGGAAAGAGTTGACTATTGCAGTGGCTAAATCCATGGTCTTTGCATCATGGATGTGTGTTCTATTTACCATTAAATCACTTAATCTCCGTGCGGGTGTATCTTTGCTCTTCAGTTAATATAGCTGAGGATTTGGCCTGACCTTCCCACACATGCTGTTGCCCACACACCCTTTTTGCAGTACTTATGCACGGCCCTGACCAAAGCTGACCTGGGCTGTGTGTGTATCAACACGTTGTAACAGAGGAAAAAGGAGCCAGTCTTCCACAGGATCACTAGGGAGCTTGACTGTTTCCTAGCTACAGCTACGCGCTGCTGCCTGCTTCTCCGTTTTTATTTCTTCATTATTTACTTTAGAAGCTGCACACACATAGCATTCATAGCTTTCTGGAAGAGTTTCTGTACTACAACCCAACTTCTGCTTCGTGTTGGGGAGGAAAAAGCTATTGGTCTCTGCAGTGCAAGGGGTGAACCACAATGAAACTATACTTGAGAAGAGAGATTCAAAGAGGGATCTTAATGAGATGGATGAAGGGGTCAGGAGTCCGGGAGTAGTGGGGCAGGAGCTGAACCATGTGGCACAGCAGTGAAGGGTTGGGAGTTGTTAAGTATTGGAATTGATGGTGCTTTACTTCTACACCCACACACACCCACCTTCTTTAGGCTGAGAGACTAACTGATCTGACCTCCATTTCTTCAGCCCTGCTAAACTCTTTCCCCACAAAAGGACAGTCTTGCCCATGCTGCCTACTGGGAACAGTCCTTGGCCTGCATGGTGTCCTAAAGCGTGCCTGGTCATTGTCTGGAACAACAGGGGCCCAATCCAGACCAGAAGGCGCTAACAATTAGATGGTATGTGGGACAGTGCTTGAATTCATGCCCTGACCCAGTGATCAGCCATCAGATGTGGGTGTAGTCAGGCAGGACCAGAATGGGAACAAGGGGCAGAACAGGAAGCCACGTGCTTGTTGGGAGAAGAGGAAAATGGTTTCTTCTACCAGAAGACATCTCAAAGGTGAATTTGGATTCAAACTGAAATAAAAATCCTATTGGTTATTAACGTATTTTGTTTTGTTTGCCTCATCCCTTTCTGGTTTTGGTCAAAATGAAGGATGGCAGGAGGTTATCATTGCTTGGTCAGGTGAAAGCTGCAACAGTCTGTGCAATAGCTCTATGTGTGTGCATATAATTTATCTGACTCCAGTTGACATGTTGTGTGAACACTGACTCATCGTTCATTATCTTCCTCATCACAGATACCTTCCCTTATTAACTGCACAGGATGGATCAACCTAGGAAAGAGTTGTTGTTGTGCTGTGGGGAACGTATGAAGAGTGTTTCAGTATTTGCTCCCAAGGATGGGTCCTAATTAAGTTGAGGAACTGCATAAAGAGAAGAGAATGAGTAAGATGGCAAGGATACGTTCAGTCATGTGTCCTGCCAGCACTCTTAAGCAAAGCTGTTTACAGAAGATGGTCAGTCACTGTTACCTGATTTTATAAGCCACCCTGAAGCTTGAAGGCTTACTTACCAGTTCTGATTTTTGTCTTTGCATTTAGCTTTGCAAATTTGAGTGTCTTTTAAAGAAGCTTTGTGTGCTGCTTCATGCAACGTAGAAGTTTTGCATGTAATATATTATTTTGGGAACTAGAAAGGAGTGGAAAAGCTATAGAAACTTGAAATTATGTCTACTGCCATGTATAGATTAACATACCCCTTTACCAAGATCCCAGGATAGCAAATATTATTCGGATTTAATTACTAATCCTTCCAGCATTTACCTTTAGCTCATCTTATCTTTCACGTTATCTTTAGCTATCTGTGGTGTGGCAGTCAGAAACAGGACAGACTTTTAGAATCCAGATTGTTTATTTCAAACTTCAGCATTTACGAATTTAAATCCTACTACTCTCAAACTGTAGGTATGATGATTGACCTGTAATTATATTTAACAGTCCATAACCTAATGTTCTGACTTGGAGGCAGATGGTTTTTTGATGCCATATTCTTGGTGGCTTTTTCTCTTTAAGTGAGAAAATCAGAATAAGTTTCCTAATCCAGCAATTTGCAATAGAATAG